AAAATACGACCAATGAAACTATAGCTAGATTTCGCACTCTGAATTCAAGTTCGCGGAAACAGCGTCTGTGCATGCGTAGTTTTGTCGGCTGAATGTTTTCTTTTCAAGTTCCTCGACTGACCGGCCAATTCCAAAACCGCTCAAGGATAACGTTTCACTTTAGATCTATCGCAAACGGCGTCCTTGACTGTGAGTAGTTTGAGCCTTCTGACAAAAATCATAAAGACAGCACGGCAGATCTTACAAACCTATGACAAAACATACAATGCGTGCTGGTAATATTGCGCAACTTTTACAACACCGAAGAATTCCGGAAGTAACGCACCCCTCCCCCCGAAAATAACAGCTCCCCGAAAGTAGTGTTACTTTTTTACCTTTCTATTGAACCCCAGTAGTAACGATGCCTCTGTAACTTTTATCTATATAAAAGTAGCGCTCCCTTTAACCTGCTAAATCTAAAAGTAACGGGGGCCGTTGCATTTGGAATTATACAGTGATGAATCAGCCGTCTGTTGTAAGTGGATGATTTTTTCCCGTCTAATTCGAATTCCTACTCCACAGAGAGTTTTTGGTCCAACTAGAATTGTGTTCGTTTGTTTGCATATTCTAGGAGGCTGGAGTCGAAAGCAATACTTTCATCACATCTCAAAACAAACTATGGCGTCGATTTTAAGACAGTACAAAAGCACACGTTTAAAAATTTCGAAATGAGTTATGGTAAGACATCTAGAAACTCATTCTATGAAAAAGATGCTAATAATGGCTTAGAAGCAATGAACCGTCCTTCGAATTCATGACAAAGCCTTCATGTCACAAGAAAGTCTGAAATCAAACGTCTCTCTGAATAACTGATTATAACATAACCGCACTATGGATCACTAAGGACAAGTTTTAAATCGACTTTCACCTCTACGGTATGGAAATATCGTTATTGCAACTGAATTTATCCCTCAGTAAATTAAAACCGTCTAAAGGAATTGTTTTGGTGTCATAAACTGTCGTGTTTTCATATTCCTGGAACAAAAATCAATTCGAAAGCACTAAGTTATTGAATATATCGAGGTCATAATTTCTCTATCGTTCACCTATTTGTTATTATTAGTAGTCTTATTGCTGCTGTTAACTGAAACTTGTTAACGTCGCACTTCTTGTCGTTCGGAACCGCCTGTTCCAGTTCGAAGAGTGTGGTTGATTCGTCTACTAAAATGACTATCGCAGAAGCTGTAGAGATCAGAGCGAACTAGTTTCTTTCTAAATTCTTCAGAGCAGCTTTTCGTTTTAGCTGTGCAAAACTGAACAGTCCTTAAAATATTGCTTACGAGCAACGGCATAAAACCGAATCACAATCAATTACACTACTGACAGAACAATAACATACCTGCTCTGCTGTTTAAGCTTATTTACCACGGTGATCAACCATAAAAAGCAACGAACATCGTTAAACTCGTCATTGACGCTTGAATCATGATTACTTTGCTTGAATACAAAACAACTTGCTTTGGAGTGAACAGAAGAGTTCTACACAAGTGACCTGAATAAAGAGTTATGTAAATGGCGGGCGGAATTCAAGTTGAATGTGCTAGGAATTTGGGTTTTTTTCCCTTTTTCTGGGAACAATGCCGCATGACCTTGAAAGACTTTCGCGTGATTAAAGTATAAATAACTATATTGACGCAGCCAGTGAGTAGTTTTCACTTTTTTCGACGTCAAAATTCAAATGCAGA